AAATACCAGGCCTGTGGCGGGATCCGACTCTCTGTAAAGAAGATGGCCCGGGCCAGGATGGACGGGAAGAGCTCGCAGGCCTGGTTCAGTGCGGCACGTTGGCCTGCACGAAGTGAAGGTAAGTACGTTGCCGCTTGCACTTCCTGGAGATAAATCTCCATAACGCGCATCGAGAGCCAACGGCCACGACGTCTGACCAGGTCCGGATTCTCTGTTAGCTGCAACATCCATGTAGCGCCGCCTGGCCTGAAGGATGCTAAGTCAAAGTGGGCGCCCCCCTCAGGTGAAGATAGACCGAATCTTCCCTGAAGGGCCTTGAAGCGCCTACGAAGCGTCCCAGCAGAGAGAGGCCACAGCTTCTCGTTCCTCTGGAGGCCACCAAATGCAGCGTCCAGTAACCGGATGATATCCGGAGGGTCGATATGAGCAGCCTGGTGCTTTGCTGAGCGTCCCCTCGTCTTCGGGCTGCAGATCTGCAGAAGCGCGTAGTCAGTACCAGGGGCAGCGTCGCGTGGTAATATAAGGTCCCTGCGATAAGCCGCCAGGGCCTCGCCAATGCGAAGCAATCCGGTCCAGGAGAGGGCGAAGACGGCCGCCTCCCGAATCCATCCCCAGGTCAGCGCAGCCGCAAGGATGGCTAGCAAAACCCCTTTTGGCAACGCCCGGTGATGAGCGTGAGGCTCCTCAGACAGCCAGGCGAACGCGAGGTCCCACGCCGCCCCAAGGTGGCGGCGTATCCCAGGCCTTGCGGCAGCTATGGCGTTGATCGTCTCAGTGTACCGGTAGTACGCCGCTCCGTTTCTGAAGAGGCTTCGGCCATACTCCACGAGCATTGCCGAAATCTCCTCCGTGCGGTCGAGGGGCCATACCAGCATCTCCTTCAGGGAGGAAAAACCAGCCAGGTGCAACCATGCTTCGAGGTCCTCGAGGAGCTTCGCTCGGTTAGCGCGGGTGGTGGGTCGGATGACCCGGTCAGCGAAGAGCACAAGTGGAGCTCGGGTCTCGGCTCTCCTGGCATCTGCAGGTGTCTTTGGGGCAGGCGGCGCCATGGCGGCAACGAGGGCAGCTAGAAACCCAGCCCCGAAACAGACCCTGAAGGACACCCAGCCTTCCCCCGGGAAACCCAGGGTGGAGTCAAAGAGGACGGAAATCCAGGGAAGGCGAAAGGTTTTGAAGAGGAGACCGGCGGTGGTATTTCTAAGGTCGGTGCAGGTTTGCGGAACAGGCACAGAAGCTCGAGCCCACATGAGGGCGAGCTGCAAGGAGAAAGAAGGCCAAGCAAAGTCAAGGGCGCCCTCAACGAAAAGGCTTGGCAGAGCACAGAAGAGGCTCACACTGACAACGTAAGGAGAAAGTCCAGGTCCTTCACCGGGGTAACCCAAGGTGGCGTCGAAATCGCGCAGGCAACCGCCCTGCGGGCGTGGCTCGGCAGAGCCTGCAAGGGCTGAGCACAGAAAGAAGGCTCGAAGCAGGGCCCTTGGAGCACACAAGCAGAAGGAAAAGGCGGCACCATGAGGCAAGCGGCCGAGTAAAGGCCGAGCTCCGAGGCCATGCAGCGCCCAAACAGGAAGCAGTTTGCACAACGAGCCCTCAGCCTTGTCCCGGAGGCAAGTGAGTCTGGTGGGGTCGTCTGCAACGTTGAGGCGCGTGGGGGCGAAGCCCAAAGACATGTACAACCCAAAGGCAAGCTGAATGGCACAGGCCCGGGCAAGGCCTGGGGATAAAGCGAACGAGGTTGACCTCCCCTTGGCCGCGGCGGCTTTTGCAACAGCCGAGTCGAGCAGGACACTAAAGCGACTGTCCGGAGCCTCAAGGGCAAGCTCCCTGAGCAGAGCGACCAAGGAGGCTAGCTCGAGCACGTTTATGTGATGGGTGCCCCTCCATCGGAGTACCCTGCGAACCCTCCAGGCGTTGCTGGCAAGCAGGTCGTTGGACACCACGCTTTCGAGAGCTGGGCGGGGCCTCTCCTCAAAGTCGGCTGTCTGCTTTGCGGCCTGAAAGGCCTTGGCTGCGGCGTGCACGAGCCCGGGCGGCAGCATCCGGTCCCCGAGTGTGTCCCGCAAGGCGGCAGCAGCAATCGGCCCTAAAAATCTCCCGGTTGAGGCCTGACCCCAGCACCCAGGCACTCCTTCCAGCACGTCCACCAAAGGCACAGAGACAGGCCCTATGGCCCCACACCGCAGTAGAGGCAGCAGTCCTTTTCCAGGTGGGCCCCCGAACTAGTCGAGAAGAGGCCGGCACGAGCAGCAGAGCAGGTCGCCCAAACCTCACGGCACAGCGGAAGAAAAGAAAACAGCGAGCGGCAAGGGCCGAAGCACGGTTCCCGCGAGGCCCTTTTGCTGAGCCCAGGGTCTGGGAGCTGCACGGAGAGAAGGGGCCAACGGGAGGGTGAAGGATGAGCCCCCGCACCCTATCCTCCTTAAGGACAGCATAAATCCACGCAAAGAAGTCGGGGTCCTCGACTGCGTAGTGGGGAGAGCCAGATACATGGATTGGAGGGCCGACCCGGAGACCGAGGTTTGAGGCAGCAGCTGATACTGGGCCTTGCGGGTGGCCGATCTCAAGAAAATCCAACAGAAAGGGCATCGAAGGGGGCACCGGCTCGAGTCCGGGAGGGGGCCCACACACATCTTCCGAGCACTCCTCACCGAGGGCACGCAGCACCGCGGTGGCTCCTATCGAGAGCCGACTGTAGGCTCCCTTCCTGTCACCGTTTAGCCAAAGGCTGTGCGCAACCTTCTCGCTGACATCAGGCTCACAGTAGGCGCCCAAAGCAAGGGAGGCATCAGTGGCGAAAACCCGGCAGTGCTGCTGAGCTGCAATGTTCGAGGCGAGCAGGGGCATAAGGGCAGAGGCTAGGCACAGCTCTTGGGCAAGCTTCCGAGGCTGAGGGACCGGCTCCTGAGTGGAGCTCCCTGGGAGACCCCGTGATTCGGGCCCGAACACTCGGTGAAATATGCACATGGAGCACCGCCGGAACATAGCGCAGGAGACCCAGGCGCCGGTCAGATGCGAAAGCAGCTTGGCAGACGTAATGCGCAGGCTGAGAGTGGCTAAGGCAACTCTTCGGGCCAGCGGGGCGGCGACTGGCACGCAAGCTCGGGAAACCTGGGGGCCCCTCGAGTCAACTTCGGCGCCAATGGCCTGGAACAAGGTGCTGCCTAGAACGTCCTTGGCCGGCGACCCAGCGACCTGCTGTGATTCGTAAGCACGGGTGGCCGCTTCGTGCAAAGCTCTTGCTTCAGAGGGCCCGGTTGGGTCAGCACTGGCGGGCAGAGCACTCAGATTCACAAGGTCATCGATGACCAAAGCCTGCCAGGTAGGCCCCAGGGGGAGCACCGAGGAGCCCAGCACGCGGTGTTCAGCGAAGAGTGCCTCCCGTGACGAAAGCAATTGAGCATGCCCCCTCCAGAGCAAACTCAACTCCCATGTGGTCACCCTGGAGCAAGGACCGGA